AAGTAATGCCCTTTTATAGTCACCTGTCTGCTGGACACCTCTTAAATGAATCATTAGACTCACCTGTGGTTGAATGCCTGTTAAGTAGAATTTTGTAGTCTTAAGTGTGGCTTTTCTCCTAAGACTATAATTGGGGTGTACTCATTTTTGCAACATGGGCTTGAATGAATTTGTTAGGAAAATCACTTTTTTGTGTGTGTAAATTAACAAATCTTGTTTGCAATCAATGGCCCACATTTGTAGGAGTATTTTGTAGTATAGTATCTCATAGAAAATGTTGATTCTGAAAGGAAACTAAAAGTTTTCTGACAAATGTAGTGGGGTGTACTCATTTATGCTGAGCACTGTACCCCTGATGCTTTAAAAGTCTCACCTCCTCATGTTTGTGTTGTATTCCTCGATTGTTATTCATGTTAAAATACAAAATGTTTATTTTATAGCCTGAGAAAGAATCCAGTGATAGCTGTAGTGTAAGTAATTATTGTAGAGGTAGTAAAAGTTAAGCAAAGTTTCCAGAGAAACAGGACGTTTCAGCCAAAAGTCTTTGATTTATACGTATTTTATATAAATATATAGATTTATAGATTTATGTAAATATATAAATTGTAGTTATCCAAGTTAGCTAACATTACTGTTTGTTGAAAATAAATTGTGTGACACTGAATAAAAGGGATTCTATCATTAGACTGGCTTCATGAAATATTTAAAATCAGTACTGCAGCTAAGATTCGTTTAGTTACATTTCCTTCTTTTTTTTTTTTTTTTTTTTTGGCTAAAAAATAAAAACATTATAATATCTCTACTTCTATTGTTGATAGCCGTAAACTTAAATTTGAGTTATATTTTCTCTTTTCTCTACACTGTTCTTTGACTTTATGATATTCTTTCCTCTGAGTGAAAAAAAAAAAACTTTTATTTTTAATAAATAAAACTTGTCAATTCCGTTAAAAGCAAGACTTCCGCATACGGACTTTTATTTTGAAAATTACTTCCGCTTATTTTGCGGCTCTCGTCATTGGGCTTCGGTGCTAAAGCTGAAAATTATTTGGGTTTTGTTTGTGTAAATCCGGATGTAGGACTATATTTCGATACATTAACGTCTCCTGATTAACCTGTGTGCTTATAAACTCTGAATAACTGTATTTTTTCCCCATATATATCTTAAATATTTGTATATCCGGTCAGGGTGTATGGGTGGACCGGAAGTAGCGGCAGTAGTAGTTCCGGTAGAGGAGCTGTTTTCAGGTTAACGATGACGGCGGCGGTGTTTTTCGGTTGTACTTTTATCGCCTTCAGTCCCGCTGTGGCCTTGTTCCTGCTCACCATCGCCCGAGATCCTCTGAAGGTCATTTTCCTCATCGCGGGGTGAGTAACTTTAATAACACACCGCTGTCAATGTTAGCTAACTGGCTAAAAGGGTTTGCTAGCTGTGTTAGCTTGAAACTGATGACGCGGTATTTATGAAAGTGCGCGTGATACAGATTTCTGACTTCACTTAGCTCAGTTCAGATGAGAACCTGTTAACTTATTAACTTATTCTCTGTGGCCTTTAACTAACCACATGCAAACATAGAAGAGAAATGTATACATGGATGCGTACATGCATAGAATACATACATGCATCATACATACATACATCATACATACAGACATCCATCATGCAAACATCATGCAAACATCATATACATCATACATGATGCATACATACATATAAGGAAGATAGATGCATGCATGCATATTTCATACATGCATGGAATCTACATGTATACAGTCACTGCACATATGTGCATGAAACATACATACATGTACACTTGGAATATAGATAGATGGATGACTTTGTTAATCCCAGAGGAAAATTTACAATAATACAAATATACAAAATACAGATAATACATATACATGCAGACATTGCAATACATACATCATTATCATCATACATACATACATACATAGTGGCAGTGGTGGCTGGATGGTTAAGACTCTGGGTTACTGATCAGAAGGTAGGGAGTTCAAGCCCCAGCACTGTCAAGTATAATACATACATCATACATACAGACATCATCATACATACATCAGAATCAGAAACAATTTATTGCCAGGTACAGTAAAGGACACTCTCCAGTACTAGGAATTTGTCTTGATGTCAGGTGCAAACACAGAATCAAAGATATAAAGTCAAGGGGGGTACAGACGACATCATCATACATACAGTCATCATCATACATACAGACGACATCATCATACATACAGTCATCATCATACATACAGACGACATCATCATACATACATGGGTTCTTTTCTGAGTCTGGTTCCTCTCAAGGTTTCTTCCTCATATCATCTCAGGGAGTTTTTCCTCACCACCGTCGCCTCTGGCTCGCTCATTAGGGATAAATTCACATATTTGCAATATATCTTTTTTTGTGAATCCATTTATTTCTGTAAAGCTGCTTTGTGACAATGTCCATTGTTAAAAGCGCTATACAAATAAAATTGAATTGAATTGAATACAGACATCATACATACATCATTATCATACATACAGACGACATCATCATCATACATACATACTCACAATGTCACTTTAATACTGTTGTGTGTTTGTGTTTTTGTGCATTCTTGGTGTGTCTCTTTAATATTTTTTATACTTATATATTTTTTTATTTTTTATATCTTTATATCTGCTGCTGTATCTTACATAGTGGCAGTGGTGGCTGGATGGTTAAGACTCTGGGTTACTGATCAGAAGGTCGGGGTTCAAGCCCCAGCACTGTCAAGCATAATACATACATACAGACATCATCATACATACATCATACTTACAGACATCATCATACATTATAATACAGCCACACACTCCCTGTCCACTTTATTAGGAACACCTGTATATTCATGCAGTTATCATACCTCATGTGGCAGCAGTACAGTGTATAAAATCATGCAGGTGCAAGTCAAGAGCTTCAGTTAATGTTCACATCAAACATCAGAATGAAGAAAAAGTGTGATCTCTGTGACTTTAACCGTGACGTGGCTGTTGGTAACAGATGTGCTGGTTGGAGTGTTTCAGAAACTGCTGGGATTTTCACACACAACAGTCTCTAGAGTTTACACAGAATGGTGCAGAAAACAAAAAACATTGAGCGAGCGAGCGAGAGAGAGAGAGAGAGAGGAATTTCAGGAATACAATGGAGGGATGAGGAACTCTGTTCAGTTTATCTTCTCTTCCGTTTGTACTGATGCTGCTGTTTTTGTGTTGTGTTTCCGTCAGAGCGTTTTTCTGGCTCGTGTCCTTGCTGCTGTCGTCGTTGGTGTGGTTCATCGCCGTACAGATCAGTAATAAAGACAGCGGCTCGCAGCAGAAAGGCCTGCTCGTGTTCGGAGTGCTGCTGTCCGTCCTGCTGCAGGAGCTCTTCAGATTCGCCTACTACAAACTCTTAAAGTGAGAACGAACTGAAACTCTTACGCACAGGAACGTTAGCGTGCTGTTTTTATTTTTATAACATTCATCTGGTGTGATTTACAGGAAAGCCAATGAAGGACTGCTGGCCATCAGCCAAGAGGAGACGATGCCCATCTCTGTTCGTCAACTGGCTTATGGTATTCAGTACCACAGTAACTTTTATAAAAGTTATAAAACAAATTTATTTAGAGAATGAATCGCTTGTTTTGAACTGACAGAGCTGTGCCAAAAATCCTGAACCAAATGACCACTTGTTTGTCAAGTTCTAGATGATGATAAAAATAATGTAATAAAGTGCACAAGGATAAAATAAAACATGATGTGAAAATATAAATACACAAAATGAGCATATGCAGATTCAAAAATTATACAATTTCAGAATAAAATACACAGAATGAATGCACATATTTATGAAAAGCTATAATTAATTCGTAGCTCAAAGCAGTTCATTTCTATTGTAGATGTTTATTAAATATATGATTATAACTCTGATTTATAAATCTACAGATTATTCCTGACAAAAATAGGTTCGTCAAAGAATCTTAAAGTGAGCCAAAAAACCGTGATTTAATCAGATTTAATCAGGAATCGTACAGCTCTGACAGAACGAATCAGTTGAACAAATTGAGCCTAATATCCGATTCGATAGAATCAGTGAATCAGAGTCGCTTGATGAAACAACCTGATTCTCCGTCATGACTCAGTTTATCCAAGTGATAACAGAATTTTGTAAATGATTCAATTTTAAGGAGCTAAAATTCAAAGAAACAAAAAAAATTTCAAGACTTTGGATGTGAGACAGACATCATAACACAGCCGAGGTGTCTCATCTGAGTAATAATAGTTTACGGTTATGGATTAATATCTTGGAACCTCCTTTAAAAATAAGAACTACACAGTAAAGCTGGTGTTTTGTTTATTTTTATCACTAATGTAGTTTATGTTTCAGGTCAAACAGATTACAGGTTCAACAGCAGAAATACGCGACAACATGACAGTTTGATGAAGTGTTTAATTAGAATTAGAAATTCAGATTTTAAGTTGTGTGTGTGTGTGTGTGTGTGTTCAGTGTCTGGTCTGGGATTCGGATTTATGAGCGGAGCGTTCTCAGTGGTTAACATCCTGTCCGACTCTGTGGGTCCGGGTACTGTGGGCATCCACGGAGATTCACAGCATTACTTCATTTCCTCAGGTGAGTAACCTGTGTGTGTGTGTGTGTGTGTGTGTGTGTGTGATCCGTCTGTTCCTGTTCTCAGAATCTCTGTTTTTTTTTTTATCAGTGTGAGAGAATTAAACGCTTTTCTTCATGTCTAGGTTTTTTTGCGTTCCTGTTTGCTCTCAGCGCAGATCTTCTGTGTGTCTTCGTGTGTTTAGTGTTTAATTTCGTTTGGTTTGAACCGTGTCGTATTTTTAAATTTTTTTCCTCTGCAGCCTTCATGACTCTCGCTATAATCCTGCTGCACATGTTCTGGGGCGTCGTCTTCTTCGAGTCCTGCGAGCGTCAGAGGTGGTGGTCACTCGGAGCCGTGGTGTGCAGTCACCTGTTAGTGTCGTGCTTGGTAAGAAACACACACACACACACACAGAAAAGACACATGCACACAGAGAGAGACACACTGAAACAAAGCGAGAGATACACAAACCAAGAGAGAGAGAGAAACAAACACAGAGGGATACGGAGAGAAACAGACGAGAGAGAGCCGTATGCAGAGAGACAGAGAGAGATACAGAGACAGACAAAAAGAGAGAGAGACAACGAGACAATGAAAGACAAAGAGGGAGGAAGAGAGACACAAAGAGAGAGAAATATAAAGAGAGAGACAGAGACAAAAATGTGTGAGGCACATACACATGAAGAGAGAGACGGACACAAAGAGAGAGAACAACAAAGAGGAGTACAGAGAGATGCAAAGAGAGACACGCGCTGAGAGAGAGAGAGAGACAGAGAAAGATACACAGAGACAACAGATGAGAGAGAGATGCATACAGAGAGAGACAAAAAGAGGGAGGCACATACACACGAAGAGAGAGACAAACACAAAGACAAGAGGCACAGAGATGCAAAGAGAGACATGCACTGAGAGAGAGAGAGAGACACACACACAGAGGGATATGTAGAGAAACAGACGAGAGAGAGAGATGCACGCAGAGAGGGAAAGAGAGAGACAGACACAAAGACGAGAGAACAACAGAGAGAGGCACTGAGAGAGAGAGAGACACAGAGACAGACACAGAGACATGCACTAAGAGAGAGAAAGAGAGAGACAGAGACATGCACTAAGAGAGAGAAAGAGAGAGACAGAGACATGGACTAAGAGAGAGACAGACAGAGACAGAGACATGGACTGAGAGAGAGAGAGAGACGGAGACAGACACAGAGACATGGACTGAGAGAGAGAGACAGAGACATGGACTACAATTCCTTACTTCTATACTTCCTGTGTTCCTGTGTTATCATTAATGTATGAGAGACAGAGACATGGACTGAGAGAGAGAGACAGAGACATGGACTGAGAGAGAAGGAGAGAGAGAGACGGAGACAGACACAGAGACATGGGCTGAGAGAGAGAGACAGAGACATGGACTGAGAGAGAGAGAGACAGAGAGAGAGACGGAGACAGACACAGAGACATGGACTGAGAGAGACAGAGAGAGAGACAGAGACATGGACTGAGAGAGAGACAGAGAGAGAGACGGAGACAGACACAGAGACATGGACTGAGAGAGAGAGACAGAGACATGGACTACAATTCCTTACTTCTATACTTCCTGTGTTCTCATTAATGTATGAGAGACAGAGACATGGACTAAGAGAGAGAGAGAGAGAGAGACAGACACAGAGACATGCACTGAGAGAGAGAGAGACAGAGACATGGACTGAGAGAGAGAAAGAGAGAGGCAGAGAGAGATGTTCCTGATGCAGCTGCTGTCTCTTTAATTGAGTGTAATATGTGTGTAAAAGCTCAGGATCTCTTTCGCGCTGTTCTCCGTTCCAGACGTTTGTGAACCCGCAGTACGAAGGCAGTCTGATCCCCACCTACATGGTTCTGTGCGTGATGGCCGGCTGGGCGTTCTCCTGCGCCGGCGGTTCTCTGAGGAACCTCAGGCTTTGTCTCACCTGCAGGGACAAAGACTTCCTCCTGGTCAATCACAGGCCGAGATAACGGATTCTGTCTCTGTAAAGACTGGAGCTCACCCAGTTCACAGAGCTTCAAATCCTAGACTGCGGGACGGGGGATTTTCTTTTGTGCGTATTCAGCACTTTTTTTTGTATGTTTCTTTTTCTGTCCCTGTACCTCACCTCTTTGTGTGTGAGACAGAAAGAGAGAGAATTGTGAAACAGCTCGTTATTTTTTTAATCAAGCTTTACAGTCAGTTACTGCTGGTTTTGACTGTGTGTTTATTCTCTGTTCTTCGTGCGTTTCTTAACAAATCTAAAATGTCGTAAGCCAGATTTACTGATAAATCGCTTCCTCAGACGGATCTGGATTCGATCAGTTGTTTTGAGAACCACACAAGAGAAGCCCTGATCAGCGACTCAGTAACACGAAACCTACTGAAGCCTGGAGAAGACGTTACACGTTATTTTTGTTTGTTTTTCTTTGCACACAAAACAGAAAGACGTGCGCAGTACAGAAATCATCAGTTTGCTTTTTCCATTTCTTTAGTTCCTAACATTTTGATTCATTTTTGTAAATCATGATAATGTAATCAATCAAAAAAACATTAAAATTATGTCAGATTCCTTATACAGTGATGTCGAGGGTGGCAGTGGGAATTTATCTCATTTAATATATACATATATAATAAAATAATACATATAGAAATAACTCTTTAATTAAAATTATGTCTATAAAGATTAACTCCATAACAGAGAAATGAACCAAAATAAGGAAAGCTTTAATTAAATCGCCGTAACTATTACATAACCACAATTTAGCTATGTATTTATTTACAACTTGTCTCTAAATGTGCGTTAATCTTGTTTACGCTGATCAGGTTCGAGTTTACACACTCGTCGTCTTGGTAACAAACCCAACAACCATATTGAAGAACGAAAAAATTCAGGCTCCACGTGCGAAGAACAGAGCTCGTGTGTCTCTAAAAGCGTTCACTTTATATTTTATTGACATTAATTACGTCCGAAAACATCTTTTCTGCATTAATATTAATTTAAATGTCTTGATTACTGTTACTGTTTCTGTTTGTCTTTATTTTTAAGAAGGAATGAATGTTAAGAGTTTTGTTGTATATTTGCAGTGAAATTTCCTATCAGAAGTGTGACTGATGAATTATTAAATTATGCTCTTATATGT